AACTTTGTTTTCCTACCTCCACGAGTGCCATCTATTATTGCCTTGTTTATCTAAAAGTGAACTTTTCCTTGTTTTAAATCTAGCCAAAAAGCCATGTGTTGACTGTGAAACAGTAGACTTTAATTATATGCATTTATGGTGTAATTACTACATTTCCGTGTCAATCCATGTTAATTTCTACCGTGAACAATGCGCTGTCACTTTAATTCAGCGCGTGCAACACAGCAGAAATAGACTCCGTGCGGAAACGATAGCTGCATGACTGCTGCAGACGCACCGCTCCTGGAATGCACTGCCGGATCGCAATCGTATGCAGTGTGAATGCTCTGATCCGTAAACATGGGCGCGGAAAAAATATGCACCGCATACACACCACACACAGAGTGTGTGAACCTGGCGTTACGTCTGTATGCCCATTCTGTTCTGTTCTCGCACTCCATTTAGGCGCGCTGCATTCTGATTGGTTCGGATAGCATACTGCGGGAGGTCGGGGTGCGGAAAATCGTGCTGTAAAGCGATTTAGAAATCGTGCACGCTCAAATCGTGATTTTATGACGATTTTGATTAATCGCACAGCCCTAGTATTGAACCTACATAAGAAAATAAACAAAAAAATATATATTATATTCATATATTATATTATATTATATACAAAATTATAACAACCCTGTCAAATGAGACTCAGACAGCGCCAAATTTGCTCTTGCGACAAAGCTATCGCTAGCTTTGCGTTTACCTTGCATCTGGACCAGAAACTCAGTCTTGATCCTGCGGGCCGCTTCGCTCTCGTTCTCGTTTCTGGAGCCACACATGGAGTCGATCTCATCGATGAAGATGATTGAAGGCTTGTGCTCCCGAGCCAAACTGAACAGATTCTTCACTAACCTAACAGACAATGACAAAATTAACAACATAAATTCTAAATGATTAAAAACAAATAATATATTCACACTTAACATTTGAGGAGCACTCACTTCTCGCTCTCTCCCAGCCACTTGGACACCAGGTCTGATGACGAGATGGAGAAGAAGGTGGAGTTGTTGGCCTCGGTAGCCACTGCTTTAGCCAGGTAGGACTTTCCTGTTCCTGGAGGACCAAAGAGCAGAATCCCTCTCCAGGGAGTGCGTTTCCCTGCGGATAGTGATGAGCTTCAGAACACTTCAGAAGACATTTTCAGACATATTAATTCATGTAACCTATCATACCAGTGAAAAGATGAGGGAATTTGATTGGCAGGATGACCGCTTCTTTAAGGGCCTCTTTGGCTCCTTCCAAACCAGCAACATCGTCCCACTTAATGTTGGGTTTCTCCATGACAATAGCACCTGGGAAGTATGAAAATCCATGTTTTTTTCTCCTGTTGTGGCTACTTTAATAAAGTCTGTTGGACACAAAATGTTGTACCTTGGAGTTGACTTTGGAATTTCTTTTTCTCTGCATCGCCGTCATCACTGTCAGTCCTGTATAAGATGAAATTTGGCATTGTGTTTACTCCGTGTAACAGGAAGTGGATTAGTCTATTGAGCAGGAAGTAGATCCTCTCACCCTTTATCGTCAGACTGGGGAACTTTGACTGGTTTGGAGGGCGGCGCGCTCTCTTTCTTCTTCAGGTACTGCTTGAGCTGCTCCGCTCGGTCCAGATACTCGGCACACTTCGCTCTGATGCTCTGCTTGGCCTTTTTGCCCTGAGCTTCATCTGCACCATAAAACATCACAATAATAATAAAACATATTCCATCATCAGGTTCTGGATTTTTTGCTCAATGAACTGCATTGAATACATTTAAGATATAAAAGACAATTTATAGTATACAAATAATTTAAATAAATAAATATATAAATACAATTTAACTATATTAAATAATTCATTTATAATAATTATTTAATATTTAAATAATATTATAAATAAATCATAATTATCTGCACTTTAAAATATAAAAACAATAAAACGTGCCATTATTTGTTCATGGATTTTTCCCTCCTCAAACTGCATTTAATGCTGAATAAAATATATTTAAGATATGAAATACAATATAAATAAATAAGCAAGCAAATAAGTAATTAAATAAAAATACATATAAAAATTGTAAAAACATAAAACATTAAAAAGTGCCACTATTAATTCAGGATTTTTTTGCTCACTAAATTGCATTTAATAAGGGATCAAATAAATTTAAGGCGGAAAAATAAATTAATTAAAAATTTATTTAATATATAACATTATAATAACAAACCATCTGTATATTCATATTAATAAAATTAAATAAAACACAATACTTTATATTAAATATATACATATATTATAAGACTACATATGGGCTCATTTAAATAATACAATTACTTAAAAAAACAATATTATAATGTGTGTATATTGTATGTTATTTTATATATATATATATATATATATACATGGATCTTTATATGAAATATTATAATTAATAATTAATATTATAAATAAACAAGTAATGTTTTATTAATATCTATTAATCATATTTTATGTTATTAATATTTTATAATATATTAATATACTACTAATTTAAACAGTTTTAAATGAATATAGCCTTTTAAAATATAAATAAACATAAAAATAAAATATAAATATATTTTAAAAATTGCACGTGAAATCTAAGTGAAGTTTATAAATAGTGGCTTTTGGCTTCTTACATTTTACCACATGAAGAAAATACTGGATTGCATGCTGATAGAGGCGCAGAGCTTCCTCGTAGTTTTTGGCCTTGTCCTCCTCAGAGGCTCTGCTGGCCAAATCAATGGCTTTCTATTGTGCACAAGTAAATATAGAAGAGATATTCAAAAAGGAAAAAAAATAGTGTTTTTCTTGCTAAGGCTATAATTTTATTGTATGTTTCATAAATGCACGCAATTACATACAATATTTCACACTTTGGAAATAAATTAAATTAAATAACAAATAAAAATTATTGGAAATAAAATTATTCTGCATTTCTTCTGCATTATTCTACACTACTATTCTTGTCTGTAGTTACACAAACACCCATATATAGATGACTTGGTCAGGTTGTAAAGCAATGACAGGCCTGTTTAAATGTTTCAAATCTTGAATTCAAATGAAATCTGTGTTGGACTGTCTGTGTTAAATAAGATGATGTTATAGTGTGGTGTAATGTAAGGATAACTGGTTAGACCAGTTTAAGGACAGGCTAATGAATACATAAAGGAGATAAAAAACAAAAACATACAAGACAGGAGCTTTACAATGTAACAAATAAGTTAAGAAGCACTTAAATGTATGTATGAATCAAATAATAAACAAGCCACCTAAATATAACGAACACATAAACAATACATATATCCTAAACCTCAACAACATAATTATATTTTCGACTGTATGTTGTCGAAGCATACGTTTAAATAGAACAGAAAAATGACAAGAAGTATAACAATAATACATATATTATATATAATAGCATGAAAAGGTCCACTATTATGGCTGTCATATCGCTTGTAAAGTCTCTTACCTGTAAATTGGCATTCGTCATTGTTGACGGTGTGTTGAAGGTGAACTTTTAATATGTTACTGCGGGAACGGTTCAAATATATACATTTTTTAAAATGAATGTATCGCGGAATCTCGGTGCGTCGCTAAATCTGTGCGTCTCGCGCACTTCCGCGTCGAGAGTTTACAGTGACGTCACGGATGACGAGCGTCGAGCCACACCTTTCCCGCGCATCGGACACGCCTTCATTGCGACGCGCCAAAAATGAGTTTTACTGAAAAATTACTAGTTTACTGATACAAATAATTTAATATTGTAGCAATGTTTAAAATAAAATGGAAAAAATTTTAAAAATCATGTTTTTGTGTATGCAATCAAATAAATGTTTTTTAAATGGTCAAAAGACGTTAAAAGCAGCATTTTTATTTATTGTTTTGACAAATATACATTTTAGCACACTTCTCACACAGACAAAATGCTACATAAAATGTTAAGAAAACAAATATCTACGCACCAAGATTTTGATCTACGCAATTCCATTTCAGCAGAAAATAAATATGGCAAGACAAACTACTCATCAAAAACCCAAAAATACGTTTTTTAATCTTTGTATTTTTTTTTACAAAAATTGAGCTTTTTTTTATTTATTATTGTGTTGTGACTAGCTATTTGTTATTTGTTTGTGAAGTTTCCCTTTCTTTGTTTTAGTAGTCCTATGACATAAACACTGATTCATGAGCTCTTTTAAAGAAAACATTCTATTAATTAAAATATATTTGCAAGCTACAAGACACTACTAAAATAATGATACCAAAATAATTTATTTTTAAACATTTTATTTTTTCAACAAAAAAAAAACATAAGCTGCTTCTTACAAAATATACAAATTTGGTAAATGTTTTAGACTTAAAAAAAAAAAAAAGTACATTATGTCATAACATTTCCGAGATGAAGAATAAGCAATTCTGCTTTTCAGTGCATTGTTGCAAGCAAGCACCATTATAAGATGGGCTGTTTGAGACAGGAAAGCTGTTCCGGACAGCGGCTCCTCTCTCAGGAGGATGCAGTGCATTCATTTTTCATCAATCTAAAAACAAGGACGGCAGAGAGAGCTAAGAGCAAACCTAGCAGTCATCAGCTCCCTCCGTTCAGCAGCGGCAGGCGCAGGACTCTCAGGATGCGCTCGTTCTTCGTCAGATCCTCCGGCAATTCATTATTCTATGGAGAGAACGTGCCATTAAAACACCAGATAAAACCAGATTATCATTCATCTGTGCTTTTATGATCTACTATGAAGTGAATTAGATTACTGCAGCATTAATCACATTTTTAGCTATTGACTGCAGCACATTCATTACTTAAATGCTCACACTGACCAGTAGATGTCAGCACTATTTTTTCAACTAGCAACTATTTTTGTTAACCTTTAAACTACATACAACCTTTGAACTATTTTTTGACAGAACACTTTTACCTATGATTTTACCCACACACACACACACACACACACACACACACACACACACACATATACAAAATAAATAATTTAAATAAATATTAAATAAATATAATTTTGCAAGTTGTCCATGTAAAATAATATTAATGCCATTTATATATATGTGATATTGTGTATAATAAAATAAATTACACAAATGTAAATCAATAATTATTTTATATTTTGGGTTTCTTTTGAACAATTTAAATAAAGCCTACAAATAAGCTTATATACATATATTAAAATGATAGATAGATAGATAGGTAGATAGATAGATAGATAGATAGACAGATAGACAGATAGATAGATAGATAGATAGATAGATTTAATAATATGTGTATAATATGTGTGAATTAATGTGTTATAATCTGCATGTCTCAAACTCACCTTGTTGGGTAAAGCTGGATCAGCATTTGCCTTCAGCAAAAGTTTGACAGTTTTTGGATTCCCGCTCATGACGGCAGCATGAAGAGCTGTAGAACCGTTCTAGATTGCAGGACAAAACACACACAGTCACAACTGAACCACTTTCTGGACTTTTTGGACGTCAGATGATGCTGCCGTACCTTCAGAAGGCCGAGTGAAGGAGAGAACTTGAGGAGCTCCTCAATGACGTTACAGTGGCCTTTATGTGCAGCCTTGAACAGAGCCGTGGAGCCGTCCTTCAGCCAGAAACACCAGAGACAGCAGAACAAACCATTTCATGCACTTTTAATAAGTTTCTTTTCCACCTGGCAAAAAAATAACTAAAATAAAATAAAATAAATGTTTTTTCAACATACTTTTCTATCTGCGTCACGGTCTGCACCTCGTAGCAGCAGAACTTTGACCACCTCACTGTGTCCCCTCTGGGCTGCCATCCAGAGCGGAGCTGTGCCATCCTGACCCAAAAAACACAATCAACATGGAGAACACAATGAAATACATAATAGCAAACCAAACACTGCTAATCAAAACCAAACTGAGCATAAGCCATGAGTATAAATCAGACCTCTCGCGGTTGATTGACTTTAGCCCCGGATGACAAAAGCTGCCGTATTACAGTCACATGACCCTCTTGGGACGCCAAAAATAAGGCCGTCGCACCATCCTGAAACAGAGAAGATGTGTATGATGAAAATGGTATTTAGAGAATATGACAATAGACAAGATGTACAAGAAATAGACAAGAATATGATCTTTCATACATAAAATAGCACTACATTAAATGACAAATGAATTAAAAATTGTTATTAAATTAAAATATATGAATAATAAATATAATATTAATTCTGAATCAATTAACAAATGTGACCCTGGACCACAAAACCAGTCACAAGGGTCAATTTTTTGAAATTGAGATTTATACATCATCTGAAAGCTGAATAAATAAGCTTTCCACTGATGTATTTTTTTTTAGGATATGACCATATTTGGCCGAGATAGGCTACAACTATTTGAAAATCTGGAATCTGAGGGTGCAAAAAAAATCAAAATATTGAGAAAATCGCCTTTAAAGTTGTCCAAATGAAGTTCTTAGCAATACATATTACTAATCAAAAATTAAGTTTTGATATATTTACAGTAGGAAATTTACAAAATATCTTCATGGAACATGATCTTTACTTAATATCCTAATGATTTTTGGCATAAAAGAAAAATCTATAATTTTGACTCATACAATGTATTTTTGGCTATTTCTACAAATATACCCCAGCGACTTAAGACTGGTTTTGTGCTCCAGGGTTACATATATAAGATAATAAAACCCTAATTAAATAAAATCGGAATAGGACAAAATAAAAAACAAACAAATAAATAAATATTTCACTACACTGAAATAACATTACATAACATAAAAAAAAATTAATTAATAAATATAATTAAAAAAACATCTAATTAAATACAAAAAACATAAATAAAATAAAACATAAAAAAAAATCACAATGTTAAAATAACATAATAATCTATTCAAAATAAATGAAGAAATAATTAATATAATAGTATAGAAAAATGAATTAAATTAAATGAATGAATAAATAATACATTTAAATAAATATTAGAATAGATTAAAATACCATTACACTAAATGAAAAACAAAATTAGACATTAAAGTTTTTTATTTTTTTATTAAAATATCCAAAAACCACTAGAACAGTGTTATATATTTTGCTGACTTGTGTACTTACATTATCCCAAATGTTTCGAAGAATGTTTAAATCCAGAGAAATAAGCAATTTTAACTAGTGACACAGAGCGTGTCCATAGTGCGGCGAAAATTACATATTGTGCCTTTAAATAAAAATAAATTTTAAATAAATGCAATGACATTCTTGGCAAGACATGCTAAAACTACTAAAATATTTCCACCAAATTATTTGAAAATATTTGCTGTCTCCCAAGGATATGTTTTCATTTAACCTGTGTCTTAAGAGCAGAGTCTAAACACTGAAACCTTAGAGGAGCTGGCACAAACATGCATCAGGCGTTTAGGCCTCATGGGAGGAATAGAGCTGACTAACACTGAGCTGGTCGTGGACGCTGGCGCCGTTCTTCAGAAGGGTCTCCACCACTCTGGAGTGAGCGCATTGACAGGCCGCGGAGAGAGCCGTGCCGCCATCCTGCAGATCACAAACCAGTCCATTTATTCACAGTCACAGTATACCTCAGTCTCGTTTAGATCTCAATCACAGCGCACCTCTGTCCGAAACTCTGTGGATGCTCCAAATTCAAACAGGAGCTTGACAATGTCATTGTGGCCCTGCTGTGAAGCGAAGAAGAGAGCGGTGGAACCTGTCTGAGGAACAGAGACATCATCATCAGCCGCACACTAATGTACACACACACACACACACAGTCATGTTAACAACCTGACACTCCAGCTCAGACAGAAATAACTTTCACTGCTGCTTATTGCTAGGGAGACGTCAACAGAAATGCTGCTGAGGAATATAAAGAAACAAAACAAAACAAACAAACAGACAGATTACATTAGATTAAAATAATGCAATAAATTAAAAAGGAAAAGAAAACATAAATATTAAAATAATTAATACATAACATTTAATAAAAAACATTTTTTTATATATAATTTTTTTAATTTATAAAGGTTTTTATTAAATATTTCGCTAATTATTACAAAAGGGTCTGGCTATTTAATAGCAGCAGTTTTGTTTAAAACAAAACTAAGTATTGTTAAAATTCTTGATATATTATACAAACTGTATATTTAATCATTTTCAGATTTGTATTATATATATATGCTATAAAAAGGCTATTCACTAAACAAAAATTATCTACAGAAAAAATAGGCTATAAAAATAAAAATAACATTCACTTAAAATTTAATTAAAATAAAAAACAATTAAAATAAAATGTATTCATTAAAAGAGTATGTTAATATGAGTCTGTTAAACAAAATGACAAATCATAAAAAAAAAAAAGTCGAATGAATTTATATTAGATTAAAACAACATTAAATGTAAATAAATTAACTAATATAAAATCAGTTTAATTAAATTAAAATTAAACAATATAAATCAATAAACAATAAATAAAATAAAATCATTTAATTAGATTAAAATAACTTTACATAAATAAAAACAAAGAAATTAAAAATTAATCAAAAATAAATGCATAAATATCATATGGATGTGTAAATAAAAATCCAAGTAAATATAATAAATAATATCATTTTATCATAAATATA